AATATTTGTGTTTTCGATGGATCTAGTCCTAGGAAAGAAAAGGAGTTTTTAGAATCAGCAAATCATCTTAATCAGGTGCTAGCTGAGAGAAAGATTCATTTAGTATATGGGGGAGGCAGTCTGGGGTTAATATGAGGTGTGTTAATAACTGCATTTTTAGGAGGTAGTCAAGTTTTGGGGGTCGTCCCTGAAGCTTTAGCACAAGGGGACATCATTGGAAAAACAATTGGAGAGGAACTACAGGTCTCCACAATGTCTACTCGAATGAATGGAATGTTTAACCATGCTGATGCCTTCATTGCCTTACCAAGTAGTCTAGGCACATTGGAAGAGATCTTTCATATTTCCTCTTGGGCCCAACTACACATTCACCATAAATCCATAGGTTTGTTAAATGTTAATGATTATTATGATAAGTTGTCTTTTCTTGATCCTGCTATGGAATAGGAATTTCTAACATCTTCTGCACGACAATTGATTGACCAACTACAATCTTTCATTTCTATAATTGATCCCTCCATGAGTCACATAAATTGGTCATCTAAGGATAGTCATAAAAAGCTTAGATTAGATTTGAGTCTTTATTTGTAAATTTGTTTTTGTCTTTTTATTTTATTATTGTGTTTTCTTGTTTCTTATTTTTGTTTTAGTGTGTTTCAGGTTTGTTAGTGTTGGTTATTTCAGGTGATATCTTATATACTCTATCTTTCTACCTTAGAACATTAAGGAAAATGTCTCATTTTAGTTGGGGGAGAAGGTAAAAGCTAAAAAAAAAAATTAACTAACTGTGTTTTCTATTTCATAAAGCATGTGCAAAATTGTTGTTACTATGATGGCAGAGTAAAGAAGATTTTTTTATGACTCTTGAGATGCATCTTAGTAACCCTTCTTAATAAGTTCTATCATAATACTTCTTGAAATATTCGGGTTTACAAACTCTCGCATTGTTAGCACTTAATTCTGCTCATATACTCATTTAACATGTATTCTTAAACCTTAATTTACACACACACACTTTAACATATGATTGTGGGTTGCACATTGGATTATTACATTATTTATGTTCTTTTGTTAAAGGTAACAACTAAGGGAAAGGGATAATATATAATTTGAAATAAAAAAACAAAAAACAAAACAAAAAAAATAAAAAAATAAAAAAAATGATGATAATAAAAATGTAGATAAGTTTGGTTTCGTGGCCACCCTAAACTAAGCAATTAAGCCCGAATGGGTGTTTTAACACCTAATACCCTAAAGTCAACTGACTTGGGAGTTATTGGCCTAACGCTTATTACATGGGTTGAGGAGAAAAGCTTAAGGGAATAAAACATTATACTATCTACATATCAGTATCTGCGACCCGAGTTACTAAGCTCGTAGGGGTGTCTCAACACCTAATGCCCTAAGATCAACTAGTCTGGGAGTCATTAGCCGAAAGCTCGTTACATGGGTTAAAGATACATGGTGTTTTAAGTTATATGTATATATATTTATAAAAAATAAAAAAAAATAAAAAAATAATAATCCTAACCCAGGAAAGTTAACCTTAAACATTGGAACAAAAATTTTGTTTTCTTCCAAGAAGAGCCTCATAATTATGTGTTGATATGTTGAGCACAAAAGAAAGGTTTATTAATATCTTGTTAAGAGGTATTAAGCAGATATATAAATTTAATGAGAGTTTGTTTATCTGGATAGATTAATGGAAGTTAAATGATGAATACCTTGCTTTGTGGGGTATTGAGTAGATATATAAATTTAATGAGAGTTTGTTTATTTGGATAGATTAATGGAAGTGGAATGATGAATACCTTGCCTTGTGGAATTTGCAAATTGTTTTTCTATTTTAACGCTTTGATTACTAGAGACTAGTAATAAGCTGGTTGGGGGGTGTGATTAGTACTTAAAAATGCATTTTTTATCAAGGTTTTATGTCATCATTTTGCACTTGAAGTATCAATAACTCTTTAACTAAAACATGTTTTATAATAATATATCTAATAATATAAGATATCTTTAATTTATGGTAAATGTTCATTTTAAATGTAGACCTATCACATAAATGAAAGGATTGATTGATGAATTTAAGAACTGAAATTGAAGGGACAAAGAGATAGCCAAACTTAGAAAAGAGATGTCAGTGCAGTCCAAACTGGAATACTGTTCGATAATTAGGTCATATCTGGAGCTGTAGATCTCAGATTTAGGTCTAATTTATATGGATGGAAAGGTAAGACGTAGGCCTACAACTTTCATATGGAGCTCAAGACTTAGAAAAACCATTTTCAAATCCAAATTATAGCTACAACAAAGAAGTCTGAATCTGTCTTCTAACTCGAGCACTGTTCAACGTTTGGCCCATATCTAGAGTTATAGAAGTCCAAATAATCTGAATGTTTTACACAAGAAAGCTGAGATAATTTCCTACAACTTTCATATTTTCAAGTGGTTTCAATTTTTACGTTATCAAGGACGTTTTGGCAGACAAAAGAAGATAAAGATTGTCAGCAAGTCAAAAGTTAGTGACCCACTCATCAATTAGTCGTCAAATCAATAGTTCCCAATTTTAGCCTATAAAAGGAGGCATTTGCCATGCATTTAGGCATCTTGGTTTCTAGATAAAGATCATGCTCTTGCTTTCTCTCTTTGTATTTTTTGTAATGTTTATGCTTTGCTTTCATTAATATCAAGTTTATGCCTTTCATTTCCTTTCCTTCACTTAGTTAACTTTTATGTTGTTATTTTGTTTATCTATTTTTCTTTCTTTCATTATGTCTAGCTAAGTTTATTATGTCAAGGTGAAAAGGTTACACTAATGGTGTAAGAATAAGTATAATGTAAACTTAATATGGACTTTAATGTTTGATACTAACATGTTTTATATTTGTTATCTTATTCACTCTTTAATACTTTCCTTGTTAAATGACTAATCTTGATTTATGTTGTATAACACTTGGTACAACAAATGCTTGGCACTTTCATAGCCCATAATGTATGGTATAACCGACACCTGAGCTATGAAAGGAACTTGATACTTGGCACTCTCATAACCCATATTGTATGGTATAACCAACATCTGAGCTATGAAAGGAACTTGATTTGTTGTTAACATAAGTTAGAATCATGAATGCTTGATGAGATTTACAAGTATTAGCATTAATCAAATAAGATAACTAATGTAATTATGTTAACAATCTATAATATGATTGGAACCTTCTTTGTGTGTGGTTTTCAATTGAATAATAAGAGTTTAAACTATAATTTTTTGGCGTACCATTAATAGATCCTCTAACCTTGACATTTATTGTTATCATTATTTAATCCTTATATTAATCTTCCATCTCAAAGTTCTCATCAACTTTTCTTCCTCTTCTTTATTATTATTATTATTATTATTACTACTACTACTACTACTACTACTAGTACTACTACTACTATTAGTATTATTATTGCTACTATTATTAGAGTTGTTGTTGTTGTTACTATTGTTGTTGTTTATTTTTGTTATTTATAATTTGTACAATTAACCTCCTTATGGTTCGACCCCGGTCTCATCGGGTTATTTATTACTTCTACACTCTTGCACTTGGGAGAAGATATCAATCTTTTGGTCTTGTTAGGTCAACTTAGCCCCACATAGGCCCAAATAGTATGAGTGGCACCTTGCAAGTCATGTTAGTCAAAGTGAGCCAAAGCTTTTTTTTACCATTTATATAGGTCCAACACTTGTTTTTAATATTTTTTATGAAATTTTTTACATTTAGAGATTAACATCATGATTTTATAAGTGTCTCAACTTCAATGAAATCTCCTTTATTAGGGATTAATGTCACCATTTTTCATAAAACTTTCAACTTTGATGGAATTTTTGCAAAATAGGGATTAACATAACAATCTTATAAAAACTTTAAGTTGACAAAATCTCCTACAAAATAGGGATTAACATAATGATTTTATAAAAAGCTTAATTTCAATGAAATCTCCTATAAAATAGGAATTAATTTCATGATTTTAATAAAATTCTAATTTTGAGAAAATATCCTACAAAATAGGGATTAATGTCATTTTTTATATATAAAATTTTCAACTTAACAAAATCTCTTATTCATAGGGATTTATGTTAAAAAATCTTTGTTAAGTTTTAAAAATTGATAAAATTTCCTTTGCATAGAAATTAACATCAAATAATAGTAGCTTTAAAAATGAAAAGATACGAAAAGGATGGTGTCTATCTTTTTCTAAGTAGAACTAACACAATATCTCAATATATGAAGGTAGTTAGAATTTTTAGTGACCATAATATTAGATAACGATTTCTCTTTTTATTTTTATTTTATTTTTTAAAAATAAAAAAAACCCTTTATTTTATGACCTACAATTCCCATTAGGCATAACACACCAATCTCATTAGACTATAACACCCCAAATTTCTATGAAGCACGTTGCAAACATTAAGTAAGCATAGCATTTCCCTTTCGTTTTCTTATTTCCCTTTGAATTTGAATTGGAACTATTAAGTTTAATCTCATGAATAATTAATTAAGGGAAAACAACAATTTTTTTCTTGGAAAAAGAAATAAATCAACATATATATATATATATATTACCATTTCACCAAATTATTAAAAAAAAAACATATAGTATATTTGCTTGTCTCACCATGTCACTGTTGTGGTCACCTGCAGCAATCCATAATAATAGAAATTCCCCAAAGTTGGCATCTAAATAAATGAATATACATTTGGGCGTATATGAATTTACTATATATTGCTTATTGTATCTTTGATTGTTAAAGGAAAGACAGAGACCAGAGAGAAAAAGAGAGAAATTTTTTTTTATCAAAATAAGGTACTTAACTTGGGAATTAATTGGTAGCAATAATTAATAAAATAAGGTACTTGACAGGGAAATTCATTAGTAATATGCAGATTTAGAATACTGTTCCTTCTTCAATATATGGAACAATAACTGCTGTATGCAAATATTTTAGGAGAGAAACATGTGAAAGAGGGTAGATATATTTATGAAATGAAACCTCAGCAAGCATTACTTGCAGAAGAACCTGAACAAGTAACATTTAGGTTTTCCAATAAAAGTTCGCTTTACCTATCTTATGCATATATCAGGAAACAAATGCATGCACTATATCAAATGAATATCCATACAAAATACCTAAACATTTCCTAGACATACCCATTTCTAGGTATCCCAGCTAGAAGGAAGATGGGGGTTTGCAACAAATTGACTACTTGAAAATGGTGATAATGATGATGAGGAGGAGGAGGAGTATGCTGACAGTGATGACATGATTGCATCGATGGACTCCAATTGACTGGTTGCCACTTCATGTACTGGATACGGCCCAGATGGGAGACTTGAAAGTCTAGCAAGTGGGTCGTGAACTGTGTTCTGTGATTCAGCTGAAGGTGGCATACGGCAAACATTTCCTTCGTTGATCTCAAAAAGTTTTGGCATCATAGACACTACCATAGATTGATTGTCATAAGACATTGTTGCATCAATCGCACTCTGATCATGAGTAACAACTTTCTCTCCAATATAATGCACTGGAATTGCCCCATTGCTCAAACTTTGATGATGATCTTCTTGGTTTTGATCGAGGTGTTGAGGTAGATAAGGCAATGACCACCCTGGGTCAAATGAAGATGAATTATCATTCAGAGGAGGTGGGATTGAGGGAGTTGCAGGTGACAAATGAGGCAAATCAACATTGTAATTATTGGGTTGGTTGAGTTTGAAATCTCCATGGCCAAAACTTTGTAGAATTGTGGTTGGTGAGGGGAGGTAGAGCTGGTGATGATCATGATGATGAGCAGTCAGGATGAGATTAGGGTTTGCATTCAGAGAGAGGAAAGCTTCCTCAGGAACACTCGAATTGTGGACAATATAATCAGTGAAGGCGGCTAAAGCAGGAACTTGATCATGAGAAATGAGCTTCTTCTTGATACTTGAATTCCAAAAGTTCTTCACCTCATTATCTGTTCTTCCTGGTAGGTGCTTAGCTATCTGTGCCCATCTGTCCAGTAGGAAATAACGAGCTTATAATTGCATGAATAAATGTGAACTACAGGAAAGATATATGATTTTTATACCAGAGGGTAATATACCTATTGCCTAGAATACTATGGAGTTCGATGATAAGTGCTGCTTCTTGAGGAGAGAAGCTTCCACGTTTTAGGTCAGGTCTTAGATAATTTATCCATCTTAGTCTGCAGCTCTTTCCACATCTCTGCAGGCCTGCATCCAAGAATAAGGCGGAAGAAAACAACGAATTGAAGAAGAAGAAGAAGAAGAGAATCAAATTAATACAGTTCTAGAATTAATCCAAGCACCCAAAAAAAACCTCTGCAACGTCTATACTTTAAAGAGAAATAGAAACTAGGAAATGCAAACATGATCATGAAATATATAGAAAACATGACACGGACACCAATTAATATTATTCAAGAAACAATCTTTCGTGGATGACAAGTATGCTGTGTGCGTGTGTGAGAGAGACACGGAAAGATACTATTAATTAATTAAATAAAAACCTGCAAGTTTAGGAACTGAGCTCCAGCAACCATGACCATATGTCGAAATGTAGTTGGCGAGCTTCTCATCTTCCTCAGGCGACCATAGACCTCTCTTAACTTTCTGTTTATTACAGCATGAGTGATGTCCCATCTCTCTATCTCTCTCCCACACACTCACTCTAAAAGCAGTATTGCAGCCAATGACAGACCGAAATGAGTCTTCTGTAATGTTTATTTAAAAGCGAATAGCTAGAGGCAGAGAGAGGAAGGGTTGTTTAGAAAGGAAATGGAAAGCAAAAATGCATGGAGAAATCATAAAAACTGTGAGATAGTGATGAAGGGTTGTTTAGAAAGGAAATGGAAAGCAAAAATGCATGGAGAAATCATAAAAACTGTGAGATAGTGATGAAGGGTTGTTTAGAAAGGAAATGGAAAGCAAAAATGCATGGAGAAATCATAAAAACTGTGAGATAGTGATGAAGGGTTGTTTAGAAAGGAAATGGAAAGCAAAAATGCATGGAGAAATCATAAAAACTGTGAGATAGTGATGAAGAGAGATATCAGAGTGTGAGTTCACTGACTGAGAGGTCTGTGGGAGAATTTAATGTGGAGAGCGGTACCATGGTGGCCCAGTTAGGGTTTGTGGGCAAAAGGCTAAAAGCTGCTGCATCCTCCTGTAAGAGCTGTATGGCTTATAATGGGAGGATCATTCAGGGATGGGCTCTTTCCCTCCACGCGTGTCACACATGCGACGTGGGTGGGTCCCGTTCCCTTGACAGGTCCCACTTTGGATTTATCGACCATTCAGATAAGATCAACGTTTCAGTATCTGTGGACCTTCCATGCTCGCATGAAATCAATGGACGCCACAAGATTATGATTAGAGAGAATCATCTCGCTACTGTGATTGCTTCAAACTACAAAATTCCATGGTTGCCTCTCTTGCTTACCATTGGATTAGTGAATTAAGATGGAATACACTAATGTTATTCAATATTTTTTAAAAGGGTATTTGGTACAACGTTTCGACTAGATTTTTCAAAAGTTTTAAGTTTTATTTTGGTATCTTTATATTATTTTAACATGAAGTTGTCAAAAATAAATTTTAAAAAATAAAAAATATTTTATTTTAATATATTAAAAAATAACCATTACCATTTATATTACATAATTGAATGGGTATATATAACACTCCTTGCAAAAATTAAGAAATGTTCCTTATAGATTTTCTCTTCAATAAGTGTAACCTTAAAAGTTAAAACTCTTTTACCAGAGGTTTGCTCTCTTTTCAACTACTAGCTAGCTAAGCATAGGTGATAAATTTAATGAACACTTGACTTACTAATAACTAAACCATCGAATCAATCCTCCCTATATACAGAACAGGAGGATCATAAGCGTGGAATTGAAGTAATCTCCAGTTAGCTAATACTAGATTGCTCGACACTTAATTTATAGATCTTTCTCTTACCAAATCTTCTTCTTAGCCTAAACTTAAGACTTTAATTTATTATTTTCTTCTTCCACTTCTTTCAAGGGTTTCGTTTTTTTAAAAAAATTATTTATTCTTTAATTTTATAGGTTCAAATTTTATAACGACACTCAAAAAAAATCTATTAAATTTTTTAAATATACTAGACCAATTAGGATATGTATTTTTAAGATTATCTGGAAAAAAAACTTAGAATAAGCTACATCAAGAATATTTTATCATCGAAAAAATTCCAATACATAATTCTACCCTGTAGTTAACTTTGATATCATTTCTACACACAAGCTTCTTGCATTATTGTATATTTGATAAGTTCTTCTTTTTTTTTAAGTCTCATAATTATAATATAACTAGAGATGATTATGTACTACATTTGTCTTTTGAGTCTCCCAATAATCCAAAAAGTAAACTTTATTATTATTATTTATCTTACCTGGTAAAAATTATTTTTTTTGTTTTATTTTAAATTTTATATATATTTTTCTCCGTATTATTGGATTAAAATAAATGAATTGAATGTGAAAGCTTTATTCTCACAGTCTAGTTGTTTTTTTTTTTTTTTTAAGATTGGATGCATAAGTCACTTCCTTGCATAGAAAAGGTGTCAATACACACAAGCAATTATTGAAACCAAACTTTTTCTGCGAGCTAGAATTTTGCGCAAGTTGATTTGAATTGAAGTTAGATCCATAAAGTTTTACATAAAAATTCCATTTATAAATTAAAAAACACACACAACACGCATAAACACAAGGAATCCCGCTGGGATAAAAGAAATTCCGACATGACATGACTATTGATTCTCATCATTATTTATTTGACTTAGTCGATAGAATAATATTGTTTATGTACCAAAAGTTTTCATGATTAAACACAGAATGCATAACTATTTTGAGAAATAATATCAGGCCCGCATGTTCTTCCTAAATCGAACAACTATCCCTGGCACATAAATAATATCCATACTTTCGTTTTCAATTAAAAGCTTGTAAAAAAAAAAAAAAAACCAACGCCAAATACACTTCATAGCATACATGCTCTATGATCATGTAAAGTTGCCAAAATCATTATTTAGGTTACTGTTTAGAGTATAAATCTTAATTTAACATAGGAAACCTTAAGGCTTTTTTCATTGGCCCAATTATCACAAATGTGTGGCAATTTATTTCTTTTTCGCTCTTTCTATATGCTCAAATTAAATTGATTTGTCTAAGTAGGGTATATGCTATTCTACTTCATCACCGGGACTAAACTTTAGGTCAGAGTATGGGCGGAACTATATGCAGAATATGCCCCTTCAAAGGTTTCTTTTTTAAAAAAAAAATCTTCAAGATCCTTATTATTTATAAAATATTTTATTTGATCCTTTTTAATTTTTTAACTTACACATATATCCTGCTCTTTATAAATAGGAAACAAATGAGTTTAGGCAAGGTATTTACTTTAAAGATTTGATTGAGTAGTGCTTTCAACTATTATAACCTATGTTTTAATATTTTTGTTTTTTATATGTTTTTTAAATAAAAATAAAAAATATTATAATAATTAAAAAAATATTAGGGATAAACAAGAAATAAAAAGGAACCAAAATGATGGATGATCAAATATTATAATATATAAAAGATTATACAAATGAAAAGAACAATAGTGCCTCAAACAATATTAGAAAAAAAATAGAGAGAGATCCTCTTTCAACGAGAAAATAATATAAAAATCTTCATGTTTTAATTTTTTTTCTATTTTTTTAGGAACCTAGCAACATATATAAATTAAATAGGGGATAGATCAACCAACCCTACCCCAATTGAAACATATTAGACATTGAAAAATCATATAGGAGAAAAACCTTAAAAAATAAATAAACATAAACTAAAACCAAAAAAATAAAATTCACTCCATCCCTTAAAAAGAAAAAATCTAGTTACCAGTCGCCACCAGAAAGTCATTAGCTCATTCTCATGATGAACTGCACAATATTGTTACAAACTATCCATTAGTCCAACCTCTCTCAACTCTTAACTCTCAGCCCCAATAACCATGATCCTTTCTTGCTATAGTAGCCAGTCGCAAATAAGCACTAGCAACAACAATTATAATAACTTTATCCATGTCAATCTACTCATAACATTCACTATCTTTCAAAATTTTAGTAATAACCATCATCGATCAATAAAGACCAACCAAGCCTATAACCACCTCCAAATTGAACCACTAGCAACATCGTGCTTCCCTTCATCTTCTTTTCCTTGTCTAATTGAATCAAGTTAGAGATTACAACAAATTCCCATTCCAAGAATCAATTTATTTTTTGTTGTTTTAAAGGTATAGTGTCAACATGTGGAGCACCTAGCTCATCCCACATACTAGTGCATGGCAGCCATACTCCACCCCCTCTATGGATTATTTCTAGTAGTTTCTAGTTGATTTAATAGCTTTCAAAGGTCATTCTTGAACCCTAACACATTGATTTTTCTTCTTTGAATGACTTGTAAAGTGTTATTGATTTTTATATGAACGATGATAGAATGTTTAAAGTGCTGGGGTCTGTATTGTTGCATGGCAAGCTCGAGGTGATGAAACCATTAAGGACTTAGTTTTAAAGGTGGAATAAAGTTGGTAATTGATTAATACTTAAAAGAGTATTTTTATCAAGGTTTTATATCATTATATTACACTTAAAGTATCATTAAATTTCCTAACTTAAGCATGTTTTATAATAATAATTCTGATAATATAAAATATCTTTAATTTATAATAAATGCTCATTTTAAGTGCAGGCATGTTCACAATTCAAATGATTGATTGATTTGTTTATCTATTGAAATTGAGAAGACAAATAAAGGGCTAAGCTTGGAGAAGAGATGCTGGTTCAATTCAAACTGGAATACCATTCAGTTATTAGATCATAACTAGAGCTGTAAAACTTGGATTTAGGTCTAGTTTGTATGGATAGAAACCTAAGACATAGGCCTAAAAATTTCATAAGAGTCCAAGATTTAAAATGACTCTTTTCAAGCTTAAATTATAATAATAAAAGAGATGTCAGAATTTGTCTTATAGCCTAGACATTATTCAGTATTCAGCTCATATCTCGAGTTTTGGAAGTTCAAATGAGCTCATTCTTATTTTCTTAGAAAGTTGAGACAAATGTCTAGAACTTTCATGAATATTATTTGTTTAAATTCTGACATTAGCAATGATGTTTTGTTCAAATAAGAAGATAATGGTTGTCACCATATTAAAAGGTGGCTACCCACTCAATAATTAGTCATCAAATCAATAGTTATGAATTTTCACATATAAAAGGAGGCATTTACCATGCATTTTGACATCTTATTCAGATCAAGATCTTACTCTTACTTTCTTTCTTTGTATTATATAATGTTCTAGTTTTATTTTATATTATATTAATCTTTTGTTTATGCTTTTCATTTCCTTTACTTAGTTAACTTCTATCTTATTTATATTCTTATCATGTTTATTTATATTTTTCTCTTTCATTATGTGTAGTTAAATTTATTATGTCAAGGTGAAAAGATTATACTAATAGTGTACGAATAATTATAGTATAAACTCAACATGGACTTTAGTGTTTGATACTAACATGTTGTGTATTTGCTATCTTATTCACTTTTAATACTTTACTTGTTAAATGGTTAATCTAGATTTATATTGTATAACCCTTGGTACAATAAATGCTTGACCCTTTTATAACCTACTGTATGGTTTAACCGACACTTGTGCTATGGAAGGAATATGATTTGTTGTTAACATAAATTAATATCATGAATACCTGACAACATTTACAAGTATTAACATTATTCGAATAAGATAACTAATGT